CGGGCTCCTCTCGGGTTCCTCTCGGGTTCCTCTCGGGTTCCTCTCCCGCTCTCTCCCAGCCGGACCGAGCAGAAGCAAGATGGCCGCTGCGCTCCCAGTATGTTTGTTTTTTTTTCCTCCTTCTTCCTCACTCCTCTGCCTCAGCGCGGAGGATTCTGGGAGTGACACCGCCGGCAGCCAATAGGAGCGTCGGAGGAGCTCGACCCGTGTTCCTCCACCAATCCCGAGTTCCGACGTCTGACGTCAGGACTGACGGATAGCCCCCCCTCCATGGATTAACCCATAAATACACGGATCGATACTCCTCACTGCACCGTCCCAGCTGGATGTTAGACACCGTTCATGTTATTATATCTTATGTTAATATAGGTCAGATTATATATTTCTATATCTTTGTTCAATGCAAAACTTTTATGTAAATAAAAACAGGCTGTTACTCACATAATCTACATATAATAATAATAAAGTTTATTTATAATGTCTGTGCAGGTTCATGTGTATTTGGTTATAGTGGATGGACGTCCAGACTCTTTGACACATTCATTATAATCCATCCCATAATTTATCCTACTTTGTTCTTTTACCCTGTTCAACAATTTACCAACAATCTATGTATTTGTGTTTTTATATAAAATCCAACCATTGTGTCTTCCTGTGAAACTAAATGTGACACGGTTTACGTCAGCATGAACTAACTGATCTCAACCAATAATATCAGACATTCACCCGTCAATCAATCTTCAGCTCTTAGCCACACAGAGCCAACATGTTCATGGCTGAACTGCTTTCAGTCCCGGTCTGGACCTGCGGTTCACTGGGAGCTCCCAGTCACCAGAGTCCTCCAAATAATGGCGATCCACTACAAGCTGCTGGACTGAGGGGCACGTAGCACACACCGCCTATGCACGGCGGCCTACAGCGCACAGTCCTCGAACCGTTCTTAAGGAACACTATGAGCGGAAGCTAACAGTCTCTGGTTCTGGTTCATTGGACTCGTGTGTTCTGGAGCGTTCTGCTGATCAATAATCTTAATATGTGTGTAACAGCCAGAATATCGCAGTGACCTGGATTCGATCAGTGATGGCTGTCCCACTTCCAGATCAATTCTGACCCCCATCATATATAATCCCTCTTCTATAATCCGCTTTAATCTGTAGTAATGTTGTGTTCACTGCTGCTCAGTAGCTCATCTGTCCAACGTTACAGCCATCTGAGAGTTTACCTGCAAACAGGAAGCTGTGACAGCGGCAGGTTGATAGTTCAGGGTGGGTGGACACTAAGTGGGGGTCCTGAAATGAATAATGGCTATTAACTAAGAAAGTAAAGTGAGTGAAGTCAATGATATTGTGCCTCCAGATAGTGAATGGTAGTGTGCCAGTATCACATCAGTATTACTCTGTAATGCACTGAGTGTTGAAACGGTCACATACAACAATTTATATTAGAGAAATATTCCTGATTAAGTATTTTTTACTCAGTGTTTGTTTTCACAGTACAAAATACAAAATTACAAAATAAAGTCAGTGGCACTTAAAAATACTTAAGATACTAAAAGAATGATTTGTTAACTTAAATGGTTGAAACTGATTGAATCAAACGTTTTAAGTAAAACAAACTCAATTTCAGTTTTTAAATTAACTTAAATGGTAGTGTAGCTGAATTTTACCCAGGGTTCATGATGATGAAGATATAGAAAAATATAAATAACATATATACAGCATATTGTCAATACTCCTGTCTTATAAAGAGGAGCCAAACTCCCCCTGCCCCCCCTGTAGTTCGCACCCTGTGGACATACTCATGGAGTTTGTGATATCAGACTCGTATGAGCTCTGAGATTATCACTGTAACTCGTCTCCTCAGTGATCATAGGTCACATCTTCATCATCTTCTTACAGCTTCATGCTACAGGTTGCTGTTAATAACCAATGATCTGAGACGTTTAGAGTGTCATCATTATAGAGCCTGAAGCTGCAGCCTCAGGTAGAAACAGGAAGTCTTTAACAGAAGCAGCTCACTGAGGCCCACAGACTGATGGGAATGTGAGTCTCTATGTGCAGTAATGGAGGATTATATGGCTGACCTCCTGAGCGCTCATTACTGTGCTGACGCTCTGCAGTGGGACACGCAGTCTTTGTGTTTGGGAGGCTGGAAATGCTTCAGCTGCTCGTCATTCCTCCGCAGCTCAGCTCATTAACTTTTAATCAAAGATCTAAATGTGACGGAGAGGTGGAGATTATCTGCATCTGTCCCAACGTGTCACTGCCGTCAGACCGCCGACCTTCAGCCCACATACAGGAAGCTCCATCTGAGCTGCCCAGCAGCAGCAGAGAGCACAACACCATATTTCTTAGCAGTAACGTAGAAATATTCATTTAGGTGGACCTGAGGGTAATAGTGTGATCAACCACTCATTAAACATGACTCAGACTATAGTTTTATACATTGTACTGAGAGCCAGTTCCTGTGCATTATGGGTCTTCAACAATGAAATAGTTCCATCATAATATGATTTGGTACAGTTACAGCAGCACCTGAGGGCCCCGGGGCCGCTGCCGGAGCTAGAGGAGCTGATGGAGATTCCCCGCTGTCAGCGTCCGCTCTTTACTGACGTTGTCTGTTCCTCTTTCTCGATGCATGGCCTCTTAAAAACGTGTCCAGAGCGCTGTTTCCATCTTTGTATTTTTAATCCAATCTCAGCTGGCCTGTAAACGCAGCGCCAACGCCGCCCACCACAGGCTCATTTGAACTTTGAACGTTGATTACATGAGGGGAACTCTCTCTGTCCATGATTTTTTTATTAATTTCAATAGTGTTAGAAATAATATTAAGATTTTTTATAATTTGCAACTAACTCATATGTTTTAATGATCAGAGTGTGACAGCTTTAGTTTAGATGATTTAGAACATCATCTTCATCCTCAAATGAACGTTGGTCATAGGAAGAGGCTGGCCTGCTGGTATTCATATCATGAAGAAGTGAAGTTAGGATAACTAACTCACAGCCTGCCTGCTGGTAGAAAATAACTCCAAAGATCATTTTATTTAGCTTGTTCTGTTGGTAAAATGCTGATACATTGTTTTGTCTTTGCTCTCCAGTCCCAAGTCCTCTTCACCAAAGGTAACGGCATTTTAACAACAAAAGGAACAATGAATTTGTTTTCCGTATGATTTGTTCCAGCTGGCGCTCAGTAACGTAACGTTCATGGTTCTCTCCTGCAACCTGATTGGATGCTCGATCGGTTTAAATAACGTGGATATGAGCTATGTTCAAATCAAAAGACTCCAGTTGAAGTCAGAACTCATTGATCTTCAAGTCTTCTTTCATTTTGTCGACTCTAAAGTCAGTTTGTGACTGGAGTGAAAATCATTATGACATAAAGCTAAAGAAAAAAGTGACAATATTTATATGTAAAAAGTAATTCTATATGTTTGGGTTATATAATGAGAATAATGTATACACTGATATAACCAGATAGTTAATAATGATAACTGCATTAGCTGCCGTATAAATAAATAGTGTTTGGTTGTTTCTGTGCAGATTCACAGTGAACGCCAGGAACATGAACTCCATGTTAAAGACAGCCTCAGTCTATGATTAGCCTCTGTGATGTTGGCCGTTATGTAACTACAGAAACATATCGAGAGGACCTGAGGGACGACTTCTCCTCCAGCAGCCGCTGCTTCAGGCCTGATTACAGCAGCAACGTTCAATCAGCGCACAGAGGATTCACTGTGCTGCTTTATGTAACTCACTGTGGATGTTTTCCTCTATACTGCTTCTCATTATTCACCTTCATCATCTCTGTCTTCATATGGATCCATCATCTTCGTACCAACAGTGGATGGACCTACACAGCCCTTTACCCTCTTTTAGCTCCTAGTTTTGCATCACATTTCCTGTCTGGTTCAGTGTTAATATCACAGCCCTCAAAGTCCTTAATTCTCACTATTATTAAGGGGACATTATATGTTCATGCATGTAGCTTTAGCAAGAAGCTTTAGCATGTAGCTTTCACAGCTGAACCACAGCGAGTGGATTTAACCATGTGGATACAAGTACACCAACTTCATCAAATATACAGAGTTTACAGCCTGAACATATCGATGCTGTCGATGTCGATGTGGAGCTCAACAAGAAGACGCTCTGAAGCCGTCTCAGTGGGATTTAAAGACGTTGCAGACATAACGTTATAAACATGGAATTTTAAGAGAACTTTTACTTTGAGGAATAACAGGTTACTGTAGGTGACCCAGTTACAGATGCACAGTGTTCAGGACATTTCAGGGATATGTTTTAGTCTCTATCTGTTTACATGTAGACAGTCTCCATTAACAGAGGGCTGAATTAGCTGTTAGCAGCTCCTGTTAGCAGTGGATGGACAAAGTGGAATAATTTGTTCATGTATTTAAAAGTCCTTCATCCCAAGTGCCATCGATAGTCTTAACTCACACACACACACACACACACCGACATGAACTGTTTCTAAATGTTTGGTATTGGATCCTGTTTGTAAACCAAAGACAGTTGAAGTTGTCAGTGTCTCTCCTCTCAACCTCTGCATGTGACTCTCCGGCGTCGTCCCTGAGGAGGTTTCACTGCTGTCGGGTAAAACTCAGTTGACAGAAAAGCTTTCTGTGTTTCCAAATAAATCTCCTTTAAACAAGAGAACCAGGTGGAGCGACTGGCTGAGAGCAGCTCAGCAGCATCCACCTGAAACATGAAAAGTGTCACAACAGAAACGTTAAAGAAAAACTGAAGTGTAGCAGAGGAATCTGCTGATTTCATGTCTCAACCATTCAGAAGTCACTCTGTGTCTCTGAGACTCTTTCAGCTGTTTGTTAATTGAATCTTCTGATG